ATTTCCCTGGGTCTCTCAGCTCCTCGGTGGTGGGGCTGGAACTCCAACCCCCAGTCTGGCCCCAGGGCCTGGGTTTGAACCCTCCTCTGCCCTCGTCCTCCCTGGAGACCCTGAGGCTGCGCTGTCCCTCCCTCGGGTTCCTGCTCCAGTGCCCTTGCCCCCGAGGATAGCCACAGCCAGAGCTGCCCCCGAGAGGACGGGACGCGGCGCAGCCCTGGGGAGCGGGTCTGGGCCTTCCGAGGTGCTGGAGGCCAGCAGGAGCAGATGCTGTGCCATGCCTGCCCGGTCTCTATCCACCCTCCCTCCCTGCCAGCAGACCCCTGATTTGTTTGGGGTGAAAATCTTCCCCAGCCCCAATCTTTCCTGTGCCACATACCCAGCAATCTTTGCAACCAACGGTGGTCATGTGACCCAGTTCTAGCCAAAGTAACACACAGTGAAGTCGGCTAAAGGAGGCTTTCCCTCCCTGATAAAGGAAAGCTCACTTTCTATCCACCCCTTTCCTGCTTCATGTTTGGGATACTTATGTGAGGGCATGACACCTGGAGCTGTAGCAGCCATCTGGCAACCACGAGGCAACAAGCATGTGGACAAAACATCAATATGCAGAGGCGGACAGTGTGGAAGAATGGACAAGAGATTGGGTCCTTGATGACACAGGGGAGCCATCAAACCCACCTTGACTGCCTGCCTCCAGACCTCTTGTCACATGAGTATCAATATGACGCAGGAGTTGAGTGGACTCCAGAACCTGAGTGCAATGGGTCAGAACCCAGCTCTGCCACATAAGAGCCTGTGTGACCATGGGCAAGTCTATCCCTCCTGCCTCTCTGGTGAATAAAGGTACTAACCATACTGCCTCACAGGATGGTTGTGAATTCATGAAATGCTCAGAACAGGCCTGGCACCCAGTGGCACCGTAAATGTTAGCTATTATTATTGCCTTCTGCAATAATTCAGGGTCTGTTTGCTTAAACCATTGTGTGGTTGGGTTTTCAGTGGCTTGCAGTCGAATGCATCCTACATCAACTCACGCAACGCTAGCGGGTATTCCAGGAGAGTCGCTCGGCGCGGGGGCACGGGGGACTATCAGAATGCGATACATCAAAGTCTCAAGACCCTTACTCAAAACCTCTGGGCGAGACATGATTCAAAATTAAGAAATCTGGGGATTTAAGAAGGATAATCAGTGCCTATACTGTATGCTGTAACACAGCACCAATAATAATTTAGTCTCCAGTCCAGTGTAGACCAGAGGTTCTCAGGGTGTGGTCCAAGGACTCCTGGGAGTCCCCTAGACCCTTCTGGGGGTCCATGAGCTCAAGATCGTTTTCCTCAGTACAACAAGTGTTCCTGGTAGGATAAGATGTCACTCGCCCTTTTCAATTCTCTTCCCTCATGAGAGTACAGTGGAGTTTTCCAGAAGCTCCGAGACATGTGACGCTGTCCTTCTGGCGGCTAATGCAGTGTGTGCCTGTGTATCTCATGTTTAAAAATGTCCCAGTCTCAATTTCTAATGCAGTAACTATTGGTAGATATCACCCGCTTACACAAAAGCTCTTTGAGGCTACAAGTGCTTTAAAGAGTGAAAGGGTTCCTGGAACTATAAAGTTTGAGAATCCCTGGTATAGTCTATTCCGGACACGCTGACTTTATGTTGAATTACAATTATATCTAAGATTTACCCGAGTCATAAACATTAATATTTTTTGTCCTGAAACGTATGAATAGTCACATTAATTGAGATACAGACCTGTGCTATACAAGAAGCATATGTGGCCAATTAAGTTTAAATTAATTAAAATGGAATGAAATGAAGAATGCAGATCCTCAGTCCCACTAGCCACTTGTCAAGAGTCCAGCAGGCACAGGTGGCCAGTGGCTGCTGTAGTGGCCAGCACAGATAGAGAGCACTTCCACCACAGCAGAAAGTTCTACCGGACATGCTGATGCAGACGATAAATAACCGTGTTAGCTCTTGTTAGATTTTGTTGCCACACATATAAAAAAACCTCCTCATTCTCAGAGCATTCTGGATTTGCAGACGGCGAATGAGGGCCACAGATATGCATCTCCTGTGGGCAGGGACTGGGGCTGCAGCCCGTGGCGGCCCCCTGGTGGGGCCCACAGAGGTAGCTGCAGGTGTGTTGGCCTGGTGCCCATGGAGAAGAGCTGGGGGTCCCCCCATTCCTTGAGTTCTGGCACCCCTGGCTCCATGGTCCCCCTGGCCTACCCCCAAAATCCCCCGCCCAGGTCTGCTCCAGGCCCACCTTTTCAAGCAGCGCGTTCTGCCAGAGGCGGAAGATGAGGAGGAAGCAGCGGTCCCGGGCCCCGAAGGAGGTGAAGAAATGCTGCAGGAGAGACAGGGGTGTGAGCGGTGGGGAGAGCACGGCCAGAGGGAGGGAGGCTCCCTCCCCACCCACACTTGTTCCCAGATCTCCATCTTCGTGTATCCGTTCATTCACCCCTTCATTCCTTCCACAGAATGTTTATCCTGTGCCCACCCACCACTGGACGATGCTGGAGTCACCGTGATGAGGAGACGGCCCCGGCCCTGTCCCCGGAGCTCACATCCAGGGCAGGGGACAGGCGCACCTCCAGACAGGGGCAGCCCAGAGTGGTCGGGCTGTGAGGGGGGTAGCCCAGGGCACTTTTCCAGTCTCCTTTGCCTGCTAGGGATGGTCAGCTGACCCACTTTTGGCCAAGAAAACACAAAGGGAAGTCTGCTGGGAAGTCTCCCCCCATTCCCTCTCTCCCGTCTGGGCCGCTGGTGTGAGCAGCCATCTTGGGACCATGAGGCAACAATCATGGGGACAGAATGGAGCGTCAGGGAAGGCTTCCATGGGGAGGGGACATCCGAGGTGACAAAGGGAGGAATTTTACTATTACTACTATCCCTGAGCAGCTGTGGGAGGGAGGGGACAGACTGCAGGGACCGAGACAGGAGGCTGGTGGTGGACCCAGGTTAGACAGGATGGGAGCCTGCGCCAGGGCAGGGGCCGGGAGGGGAGGGAGAAGGCGACAGATCTGGGAGAAGTTCTGGGCGCAGAACAGACGGGGCTTCAGGTGGGGGCGGAGGGAGGAGCGGCTCAGACCACGACCACCCGCCGTGGGCAGGCCTGGCGCCCACCTTCTCGCTCTCCGTGCAGATCTGGATGGCGTTGGGGATCAGCTTGGCCGTCTTCTCCTTCTTCAGACACGTCACTTCCTTCAGCTGGATGGAAATCTGAGGACGAGAGGCCGGTCAGAGGGGCCAGGGCCCTGCCCGCCCCCGGGCCCCGCCGCGTCCCCCCGCGGCTCACCGTCGTCTCCCAGCGGAAGATGTTGCTGTAGAAGCAGATCCAGTTCTCGGAGAGATAGAGGCGCCCCTGGAGGAGGATCTCCCGCTGCAGGGCACACGAGTAATCTGAGGCGGCGGGAGAGAGCAGACAGCAGTCACGCGGCCTGGCCAGCCACGGCGGGGAGGGTCAGGGCAGCTCCAGGCCCGGGTCTGGGTCAGGGCTCACCCACGATGAGGCGTTCAGCTTCAGGGAGTTTGTTGAACAGCTTCCGGAAGTCCTCATTCCGCTGCTTGTATGTGGGGCTCAGCATCTGGGGGCGTTTGGGAGGTGAGAACCCGGACGGGGGCTCACACCCCTAATTCTGCCCCACAAGCACCCAGGACCCCTCAGGCTCTCTGAGGCCTCAGTGTCTACTCACTTCTGGCTCCCACTGCCGCTAACGCAAGAGAACCCGTGACGAGAGCTGCCACTGATTTCTACATAAGCCAGGCCCCTGGCCAAGTACCCACCAGCATCGCTGACTCTTAGTAAGGTTGCCTTCAGCCTTATAAGGTCAGGACTGAGTCTCAAGAAGAGAGAGAGGCCCAGAGAGGTTAAGCAACTCACTCAAGGTCACACAGCACATAAGTAGCAGCACAGGATGTGACCCTAGGTCTGCTGACCCTGGAACCCCACCTTGACTGCTACAGCCGGGGCTGCTAGCCCAGCACTATTCCTCTCCCTCGCCCCTCCAGCAGCCCCCCTGTCCAGACACTTACACTGTACCAGCTCTGCATCTTCTGCAAGGGAAAGGAGTGGAGTCAGCACAAGCCCCTGGGTCCCCTGACCTCCCACCCCGCTATGCCACCCTCATCCCTCTTCCCACCCCCAACCCCCCTACCCCTCCCCACATCTCCCCCACCCACTCCACCTGGGCATGCACCAACCTTGCTGTTGCGGATGAAGTTCCGGCTGCCCAGGCTCTGGGTGCTGGGTGTCCCGGGCACCCCGCCCTTCTCTGAGGAGCTGTCCGACCCCTTCTCTACCATGGTGCCCGGTTCTGGCTCAGGCGGCGGTCGGCTTGTGGGCAAGAGCTGCAGCCGCTTACGGAGAGATGGGGAGCTGCTCGGCGTGCTCCGGCCAGAGTGGGGGGTGGTGCTGGGGGGAGAGGAGGGGCATTATGGGAAATCAGGCTGGGGCATGGTGACAGGCCTATTTTGGGAGGCCCACGCATCAGCCCATTGATCCCCACCCACCCGTTCTACTCCATTTCCTAGCAGTGTGGCCGGAGCAGCGTCCCTGACTCTCGGTCCCCGAGTACTTCCTCTGTAAGCTGGGGGGTGATGAGTACAGGTCCCCATCTGTCGTTTGGAGAGTTAAACAAATCAGTGCGTGGAAAGTGCTTCTCACAGAGCCTGCGTATAGCGAGCTCTCAGTAACGCCTGCTGGGGTTTTTTTGTTTTTGCTGAGAAAAATTCGCCCTGAGCTAACAACTGTGCGAATCTTCCTCTATTTTGTGTGTGGGCTGCCGCCACAGCATGGCTACTGACAAGTGGTGTAGGTCCATGCCCAGGAACCAAACCCAGGCCACTGAAGCGGAGCATGCCAAACTTAACCACTAGGCCATGGGGCTGGCCCCAGTGCCTGCTGTTTTTTAAGCTCACTTATTAATTCACTCATACAATAAATATTTATCGAGCAGCCACTTCCCACTTAGTTGCTTGAGCTTGTATCTTCCTAATGTCTTTCTTTCCCTCATCCCTCATTTCTAGCCTGTTAGCAAGTCCCACCCGCTCCACCTCCCAAATCTATTTCCATTGTTTCTATTACACCCAACTCCCCTGCTCCAGTGCCCTGGCCCGGCCTCCATCCTCTGCCTCCTGGACCATCACAGCAGCCTCCTCCCGGTCTCCCTGCTCCCGTCCCTGCCCCCTACAGTCCGCTCCACGCACAGCCAGAGGGAGCCTGTGAACCCGAGTCAGGTCATGCCCTCCTGGCTCAGAGCCTCCCCTGGCTGCACCTCACTCCTGTAGAAGCAAAGCCTTCACCTGGGCGCCCAAGGCCCTAGTGTGGCCCCCATCCCCACTGTGACCTCATGCCCTCTCTCTCCATCACTTTCTCCACTCCAGCCATTCCAGCCTCCTTTTGTCCCTTAAGCTCACGAGCTGCACTCCTGCACCAAGGCCTCTCCACTTGCTGTCCCTCTGCCAGGATGTCCTTCCACAGACCCAGCATGACGGGCTCCATCTCATTCAGCTCAAATGCTCCTCCCAGCCTGGTCCTCAGCCTGAAGGAGCCCCCCAGCCACCAGTCCCACCTCACACCATCTCAATTCATCCTGTTGACTTCTTCGGTTTACTGTCTGCCCCAGATTGTGAACTTTAGGAGGTCCTGGCTGCCCCGAGTTCCCAGCACCCAACACTGCACCTGGCGCACAGTGGACGCTCAGTGAACACTGGTGACCACAGGAATCATCCGTGCGCTAGTCCCAGCTGGGAGCAACAGAGGCCACCAGACACAGCTCCTGCCTTGGGGAACCCAGCTTCAGGTGGGAAGGCAGACAGGAACAACAGAACACTCAGAGGACTGAATAACACGAAGTGTAATAGGGCCGTGGGGTAAGTATCGGGAACTTGAAGGGGACATTCATTGTTGACTATACTGGGAACTGTGGCAAGCTCTCCCTCTGATCAATCTTATTTCTTACACACTCCTGTGCATCTGATACTATTACCATTCCTGCTTTACAGACGAGGAAACTGAGGCGCAAAGCCCTGAGCCACTTGTCCAGGATGCATGGCTGGTTTTATTACAAACTGGGGGCCGCGAGCTCCTCTGGGGCGGAGGCAGGAGTCCCTCGGGCACTCGGGGCCACCCACATATCTCTCTCGCCTCCGAGCTTTAGCACAGGCTGTGCCCTCTGTCCAGACTGGCCTTTCTCTTCCTTGTCCAGCAAATTATTCTGCATCCTTCAGGACCCTTGCTCGCACACCGCCTCCCTCCGGGACACCAGCTCCCCTCTGTGGGTGCCCACGTTCCCAGGCAGCGCCCAGCCCATCCCTAACCCCTCGGCCACCACTCGCCCAAGGCTGCCCCCACCAGACCTGACTGCTCTGGGCAGTCACTGTCTGGTGACAACTCCATTGCCCCACTGGTTTGTGAGCTCCCTGGTGGCACGCTTGGTGTTGTCTTGGTCACTGCTCCGTCCCCAGTATTGCTCAGGACAATGCCAGGGTGGGCATTCATGTCATACTTGTGAAATAAATACTTTGTGAAATAAAATAAACAAATGAAATAGATGGTGACCCGGGCCCCCGCCACTCCCCTGGACTATGGAAGGTCCATGTCTCCCTGGACCCCTGCTCCCGTCCCTGGCCCCCCTTGGTCTGTCTGCTCTCCACACGTAGCCAGGGAGCCTGTGACCCAGTCAGGTCGGGCCCTCTTGGTGAGCCCTCCCTGGCTGCACTCACTCCAGGGAACGGCCCAGGGTCAGACCCTCCCAGGGCCCCTCACTCACCCTCCCCCGGTTCCTGCCCTGGCAGTACCCTCTGCCCAAATGCCCTTCCTCCCAGAAGTCCGAGGGGCTCCCTCAATTCCTTCAGGTCTCTGCTCAAGGGACACTTCTCCAAGATGCCTTCCCTCACTCCCCTATTTAAACCACACCGCCCACTCTCCCGATCCCCCTCCCCAACCTGCCTTCTCTTCACTCCCCACCTGACCCTCTCTCTGTTATCATTTCTTATCCTCCTGCACCGGGGTGAGCTCCACATGGGAAGAGGTGTTGATCCCCGCTGCATCCCCATGGCCTAGAACAGGCCTGGCACACAGTAGGTGCTCCACGAGCATTTGCTCCTGGGGACTGAATGTCCTGGGGACTGAATAAACGATTGACCCTCCACCCCTCCCCTCACAGAACTTGGATTCAGCCAGGCCTGTGACTTGCCGACCCTCAGGGGGCCGGGACTCAGTGCGGCCACTTCCTCCCTGTGTGACCTTCGGCAAGTGTCTGAGGCTTTCTGTGCCTCAGTTTCTTCTTGAGCATAATGGAGTCACAGGGTTGTCTGGAGGGGAAAGTGAGGTGATACACACAGAGCCCAGCACACGGAGGCACTCTGGCTGGACTAGGGGCTGCCAGACGGAAACGGAGTACCCGGCCCTGCACTGTCCCAGCGCACCCGTGTCCACACCCCTACGCCGACCCCGACAGGCACCGCAGACACCTCGGCCTGGCATACGGAGCCCATACGGACCCTAAACCCCAGTCATTTACCTCTAAGTACGCACGAGCACCTGCCTGGCAGAAGTGAACCAGACAGACACGCTCCCCGCCCTCGGGGACCCGACACTCGGGTGGGGAACAGAGATAATCAATAAGAGAACCCACCCACGAGGAGGAGGATCTCAGGACGGGTCAGGACCCTACAGCTGCTCACACAGCAGCAGCCCCCGGAAGCCGTCAGACATGCAGACTCCGGCCCCACTGCAGACCTCCTGAATCAGCCCCTGGGGGCGGGCCCAGGAGGTTCGGAAGCAAGCTCAAGTTGGAGGACCATGGAGATAAAGGATGGCTGGGTGGGTGGTTGGCACGCAGGGCACGCTTAAGCTGAGCCCCGAGGACAAAGCACAGATCTGGCAAAGGGCGGAAAACTGGCAGGAACAGCAAGTTCAGGGACAGGACTGACTTGGCAGGTCCGAGGAGGAGTGGGGCAGCCAGTGGGGCTGGGGAAGGAGGACAGGAGGGCACAGGCCCTCCGCAGGCCCTGTGGGCCCTGGCCAGGCATCTGGGCCTCACCCTGAGGGCACTGGTGAGCTATGGGAGGGTTGTGAAGGAGGGGGTGACCACATCCTCCTCCCCTCAACTTCCTCCCCCTCTAGCCTGAAAGGCAGACCCCTCCTCCACCTGTCCCACTCCCCTGCAGCCGTGGGTCTGGGGGAGGGCGCCTGAGGACAGGGCGAGCACACGGGCAGGGCAGGGCCCGCACCCTGAGGTCTCACTCCTTGGCAGGACGAAGAGGAAGTCCTCAAGGGCAGGCCCAGCCCTGAGGCTGCCCAACCAGGCCGGCTGCGGCAGAGGGAAGGGAGGAAGGGAGGAGCCCGCACTGGCTGGAGGACCGTTACGGGGGGCGGGGACTCGGAAGAGAATGGGGTTTGCCACCCTGGACACCTCACCTCCGGCTTCCTGGGCCTGCAGAGGCCCAGAGCTCCCTCTGGTCAGAGACGGGCAGACGCACACACAGGTGGGCATAAAAAGGAAATGGTGTTGGTCACGCACAGCCAGTGTCACAGGCAAACTGGAGGTCCCCACGGTTGCAAGAAGTCTCCCCCCCACACACACCCCCACACGCACCCAGCAGTAGTATCACAGGTATGTTACAGTCACACGTGCAGCTGCAGAGTCACAGAAACACACAGAAAGTCTCAGATACATTACATGCACACTTACAGCCACAAGAAAGTCTCAGAGAAGAACTGAAAGCAAATAACATTCCCACAGCTACAGAGAGAGACACAGCGACAGAAGAGGCACAGAGCACCCCAGGGGACACACGCACGACCCAGGCAAACTAAGTCACAGGGCCAGCTCGGCTCTCGTGGTGTCACCGTACGGCAGCGAAGACAAAGCAAAGGCCCGTGCCAGCGTGGAAGGGATGGAGGTGCCGGCTGCTGTGGCTGACGGAGAACCCGGACACTCGCATGGCCACGAAGGACTCGGGAATAACACAGCCCCAGGGGCGTGTAGACACACCTCCACAACACAGCGGACAGGTACTGAAACAATGCATGGGACATGCTGTGTAAACTGTGACAGGGGAACAATATCAACTGTGATTATTGCTCCAAAGTCAAGGGTGCAGCCAAGGTCCCAGGAGGGAGGTCCCAGGCCCACGAAGAGCCACAAGGGGTCTCTCTCTCTTGTTCACACACACAAAGCCCCAGAGGGTCCAAGCTGCACACATGGAAGCCCAGGCACATACACCACCACCACAAATGGACACACAGCAGAACTCACACAAAAATGGAATCCGAGGTAAACCACAGGCACAAGCCCACAGGGTCTCAGTCACCCATGCTGAGCCTCTGACACACAACAGCGTCACACACGGACACACACAGGTAACTTACATTTGCACACAGCTAACAGGTTCAGAGGTAAATTACAGGCACATACCGAGGCAGAGTGTCATGGAGCAAACAGAGCTGCAGACATATGGACACACACTGTAAAGTCCCAGCTGGACACCACGCAACTTACAGTGACACTTGGAGCCACAGATGGAATCAGAGGTAAATTACACACACACAGACAAGAAGGATCACAGCTGCCTGCACACTAGGAGGGACGCGTACACACACTTCCAAGACACCATATTCATAACAGAAAACACAGCGGGCCCAGGCAACCGGTAGGAGGTCAAGTCGGCGCCCAGGGCCCCAGAGGGTCTCAGGCTCGGGGTCGGCCGGCCTCGCACAAGCACCCACCGCCAGGAGCCCCCAGAGTCGCGACAGGCGCGGTCGGCGGGAGGGGGCCGGCCCGGCGGGGCTGC